ATTTTGATGTTATAAATGTTAAGAGCAATTGAATTTGTGTTGGTTGCAGTCATTTCAACTGTTTCAAATATTCTACTTAGTATATAGGGTTTATATATATATATATATGTGTGTATATATATATATATATATATATATATTTTTTTTTTTTTAATTTTGGTCAGTTGTGGCCTTGAACTCTGGCCCTGGGGACTGTCCCTCAGTTCTTCAGCTCAAGGCTAGTGCTCTACCACTTAAGCCACAGTACCACTTCCCGCTTTTTTTTTTTTCTGCTTATGTGGTGCTGAGGAATTGAACCCAGGCCTCTTGCATGCAAGGCAGGCACTCTACCACTGAGCCACCTTCCCAGCCAAAGAATTTCTTCCAAATGAGTTAAACAGTTCTCACCTCAAAAGAGAGAAAAGGCAAACATTGTTTGCCTTTGGATTTTCAAAAGAAAAGCAAAACTTTGATCATGTAGTTTATGGTCATGTCCAATTAGCTTAGTCATAAATATATAAAAAAGTTACACATTTTTGTGTGTTATATTCTAGCTGCTGCTTTGAAAAAATTAAAAAGTAAATCAAAATTGCTAAGAAGCCAAGTGAAACTCTTATAATTAGGAGAAATTTGTAATAGATGGAACAGGTACAGTATATTAGCTCTAGTTATGAAAACATTTTGTGTGAATGGTATTTTAAATTCTAAATTAAATCAACGTAGACGCTTTGAATTAGGTAAATATATGCAGCAGAGTTAGGAACATGGACAAGTTCATGTTTAATTTGCTATTAAAGAGCTATTTTGAGACTAGATAATTGAGATCATTGAGATTCAGTCCAACTGACTTCAAGAGTTCTTCTCTCACTGGTAAAAAAAAAAAAAAATACTCTTACTTTTATCAGGTCTTAGTTTAGCAGTTCTAGAAATGTGATTTCAAAACTGTTTCCTGAGTGCATCAGGTCTAAGACTAGACCTAGAAACAAGGGCTTTTATTTCCTCCAAAGACAGAGATATCATAAAAACAGAATGTTTCTTTAAAAAAAAAATACTGTCAAGGTGATGTACAGAGGGGTTCGTCTGTCCGCCCTTCCTTCCTTCCTTGCTTCCTTCCTTCCTTCCTTCCTTCCTTGCTTTCTTCCTTGCTTCCTTGCTTTCTTGCTTTCTTTCTGCAGTATTGGGGTTTGAACTTGCTCTGTAGGCTCCAGCCCTGTTTTGCATAGGTTATTTTTTGAAATATGATCTTACACTCTTATCCCTTGCCTGGGTGCACACCTGTACAAAGTTCCCTCTGTTTTAAGCTTCCCTTAACAAGCTGGGATGACAGGTGTCCACCACTGCACCCAGTTATTGGTTGAGAAGGTGTCTCTTTAGTATGACCTGGCTAGTTCAGGAAGATTGAGACCTTCCTGAACTCAGCTTCCCAAGTAGCTAGGATTATAGGCATACACCCTCAACTGTTCATGTATGTATAATTGTTAGGTGTGACAGAGCATTCTGTAGCATTTTTTTTCTTCCCCTATGATAGCATATGTGGCAAAGTGTCTCTTGGTAGGACCAGTTGGATGGATTGAATCATTAGCTGTATATGCAAAGAGAGTGGTTCTCAGGCCTATTAGGAAACTTCTGATGGTAAATTCTTGCTCTTCGGCATTTCTCTCCAACCTCTGGCTAATGATACATCTCTCTTCTATTAGGAGCTGTTTCTTTCATTCCAGGAATAATGTTAGTTGAGGGTAAGGTTTTATTTGGTAGTAAAAGATATTCTCTAGACTGGATGTGAAAGATTATTTCGTAGACTAGGACCATCATCAGGAGAATATTAAGTATTGATTGATGACATAGATGAGACTTATTTCTGTTAGGTCTTCCTGGTTTTACTTTATTCTTTAAAAATAAACCCCCAAACTTGCAGTTTTTAAAATAGTGAGGCATTCTCACAGCTTGCTTAGTTACATAGATTGATGGAAGTTTTAGATATTTTGATCACCAAACCATAGCAGGCATAAGTGTATTTCTCAGGAAATAAGATACCCTGCTTGCAGCAACACAATAACTACTTTTAAGAAATCATTCCTGGAAGAATGATGTTTTTCTGAATAGTTATATTCAATCTCACTCAGGTAGTATCTGTCTTACTGCTCCTTTCCTAATAGACATTAAAAGCGTTGAGTCTTTTATATTGAAAGAAAGTATGTACACCAAAATATTTAAATTGGGTATTTTAATTTTTCCAAAAAATTGTATTTCTCCTTTGTAAAATGAAACAAAATAAATCTAATTTAGTACTTGAAAATTACTTGTGGATTCATTCTTCTCAGTAAAGCAACCTCTCTCTTTCTGTCTCTCTGTCTCTGTTTACTGTCCTATCCTGTCCTGCTTATGAATGTGATAGCATGACTTGTGTTGCTTTAGTATGTGTAATGTCCAACACAAAAATTTGATGACCTATTTGGATGCTCAAATATAAATTGTTTACCTTTTTCTTATTCCACTATCCCAGATAGTAGAGTTTCAGAGATGAACATTTGCCATTTCAAGTGAAATAGCCTATTTTGGCCAGCTACACTAACCTTACTCATAAAGTGATAGTAAATATCATATCCTTTGCAAGAATAACCAGCTTCCCATGATGATTTAAAAGGTAGTGTACCAGTTATTTCCTAAAATGGATTCTAGAAGTGTCAAAACACTTGAAAAAAAAAGCCTTGTTGTAATAAAATCTAAATTTGAAGTCTTTAAAGTTGATTCAGTGCCACAGATAAAGTTCTCAAGGCAATAGGCAGGTTGTAATTTTCTTTGTAGTAAAAGTTCTCCTTCATATCCTATAGAAATCTGATTATATAATTGATTTCCTTTTCCCAAAATAGTTCTCAGAGTTTGAATATTAACTGTGGCACTAGTTTTAGGCTATTCATATTCCCATCCTGATAGCACTTCTTGAGTTTTAGCCCATCTTTTCCTTCTTACGTTTGCACAGCTATCCTAATTGCTTTGGATCAGTCTGTCACCACTAGATTCTAAGAAACTATTAAACAACTTCATTCATTTCCTTTACAGATGTGGAATCTGAAGCCCAGGTTTTCTCTGAGACTCTAACTAATGTCCTCATGTATTTGTTGATTATATTTTCATAAAAAGAGACATGTTTTGAGGAAATTATGCAGCAGAAACAAGGATAGTTAATTACAGATACAGTTCTCATTTAATCAGTTTTAAAGCATGGTAGGGAAACAAATATGTAGCTTTTTTATTTTTTAAAATTATTATCTTTAAGTAGTTGTACAAAGAAGTCCCATTCTACAAAACAGTATATGAGTACAAAGAAAATATGAAGCTAATCGATAATTTCTTTACAAAACCCTGGAAAGTATGTAAGTGAAACTGTTACTGGTTACTAGTTTGTCTAAAGTACAAAAATAAGCAAGACAAGTTTAATAGAGAGTAACTGGTGACTCAGCTATCATATATGAGAACTTAGTATTATGAGCCATTCATATAATGTCTCTATAAAGAGGTTTTTAAATCTGATGCATATTAGCATTGAAGAAAGTTCTGGAGACAAATTCCTACAATTTGAGTTGTAACCACAAGTATTGGCATAAATAGTTTAGATTAATAGTACCTTCCACCTTCTTTCCTATGTGAGCAAGATCTTAAGAGAGAAGAAAGAAAAAACTTATACAACAGTTTTGTGTATTTGAGGGATGCACAAAGATTTGTATTGTGTTTGGTTAGTTTAAAATGTAGTATTGATTTAATTATTTAAATATTTAGTTATTTAGTTTTGTGTTGGTACTAGGGTTTAATTCCACTCAAAGATGATGCCAGTTGACCACAGATCCAATTCTGGCACTTTTTTGGTGGCTACTTAGAAATAAGGGTTTCACAGACTTCCCTGTCCAGGATGACTTTGAATCAGGATCCTCAGATCTCAGCTTCCAAAGTAGCTAGGATTACAGGCCCGAAGTGTTTGGTTTAGAGTGTACATTTTTAGCCAGGCACAGTGGCTTGTGTTGGCAATCCTAGCTACTTGGGAGCCTGAGATCTGGAAGACTGTGGTTTGAGGCTCTCCCAGGCCAAAAGACGTATGTTAGACTTCATCTCGACCAATAAAATACTGGGCACTGGGCACAACAAGTACATGCCTGTTATCCAGCCTGTTATAGAAAGGATAAATAGAAGGATTGAGGTACAACTTGGCCTAAGTAAAAAGAGAGACCTTAGCCAAAAAAAAAAAAAAAAAGTAAAAAAGGATTATGGGTGTGGCTCAGATGGTTGAGTGCCTGCCTACAAGTGCAAGACTCTGAGTTTAAACCATAATACCACCAAAAATGAAAAAAAAATCTAAAAAAAGATGGTACAATTTGCGAGTTGATTATTTGGATTACTTATAATAATTTGGTCAATCTAATGGTCTTCTGGTTACATAGTTTAAATCAGCATTTCTAGAACTTGCCTTTTTGTTTCTCTTACACGTTTGTTATTAAAAACAGTTGTTTTATTAAGTTGATTTTTTGATGAAAAAGAAATAGTTTTTACAAAAAAATGTTAATCTGTTAGCTTTAGTTTTCAGTAATAGTTGTTGGAATATAGCAGATTCTTAGATTACCTTGTTAAATTTTGTTGTTTTCAGAAATCCAGTAGCAATGTTAGTAATCTTCTGTTTATTATTGTCTTGCAAGTCACTCTTTTTGTGTCTATTTTGTAGTGCATATTTGCTAACAGTTGAGTTGAAAATAAGTACTAAACTTTTAAAAGAATTTTTGAAAAAGGAAGTGTGGTAAATGCAATGCTAAATCCCACAATTTTTGGTGAGGTTTTGTATTTGGGAATTTTGGGGAATAATACATTAATTTTTTTTTTCCCCAAATGGAACTTCAGTGAATGTAAATAACCTAAAATTCTTAAAGATATATAAACTTACAATCTTTAGAATATCCTGAAGATTCATAATCATAAAATATCAAAACTTGATAGCTTGTTTTATCTGAGTATATATTTTTTAATTTTTTTAATAGGATACAACATCTATTGAAAAGATGTCAAACTGTTGTGAAGAAATGTAAGTATAAAAATGAAGTATGTGATTTTTTTCCATTTTAAAATGGAAACAGCTATGTGCATCTACTGGAAAGATAACACAATGCTGGCTTTTTATTGGTGCCTTGCTTGAGGCCTGAGCTAGAAGCATACATACCCCAGTCTTACCAAAGGGGGTCTTCTAGACATAGTTTTTAAACTAAGTAAGGACTAACTGTTCTTTCTCTCTTGTCTAACTAAAGTAAGTTAAATTATTTGTCCTGAAAGTACATCAAAAGAGATTTGCTACTGTGTGGTTGACACACATTCTGTTAATCCTGAGATTCTCCTCTGCTTCAAAAGTTGCCGTAGGTTGATTGACGATGCAGATACAATATATGCTATCCAGAGTTAAAACTCAGCTGCATGCCACAGTGAAAGAAAAGCTGTATTTGTGATGCTGGGACACAATTCATCAGAGTCCAGTAATGGATCCCCAGCCAACCTGTATTGTTTTAGCTGACTGAAGTGCACCATGGGAGTGCTGTCTTTCACTAATAATGCTGTCTTCTGTAGATCGAGGCCTCGAAAGCCATGGCAGCAGACCTTCTCAGAAGTTTTTGGCACTCGTTGGAAGATCCTGTGGTTCATTCCTTTCAGGCAGAGGCAACCACTGCGAGTTCCCTACCACTTTGCCAATCACGTCTAAACAGATGGATGGTGGGCACAGATGGGTCCTCCATGCTGGAAATGCGTTACAGGTTTTATGATAATAGAACTATGACAGTCTTCAAGTCAATTAAAATCCACCCTCCAATCTTAGGATCATAATGTGCCCCAGGCTTTATTTTAACAGTGATCTTGATCCTGTTGTGGTACTAATACAAGATCTATATTTAAGTTTAAAAGCATGTTTACTTTCAAATTAGCTTCCACCAGGATTTCTTTAAATGATTTTCTATTAACCGTAAAAGGCAATGATTGGGATGAAATCATTGTACATAAATTTCTTTTAGTACTGACAGTGTTACAGATTTTAATTTATGGAAAATATCAGATGTTCATTTAAAAAAATTAAGCAGTACTAACCAAAATCTGAGAATCAGTTCTTCAGATTTTACAAAATACCTTTTTATGTGTAAATTTCCTTTTTCAAATACAAGGTATTTGAAATACTACTTCCTTTTATATGTGCTGATTTTTTTTTAATGCAGCAGAGAAGTGCCCAACAACAAAGGGCAGTGTTTTCTTAGGAGTAGCTTTCCAGTGTTTCTCCTTTTCTTTCCAACAAAACCAAAATAAAAATACCACTCAAGTAAATCACCAACTACCTATGTTACTGTAAGGAAAGATTAATTTCTCTCACATCAGTTTTCCTTTTCTCTTCCCTTTACTATTGTAATATTTGTTCCCAGGAGAAAATTTGTGAGCAGTGGGCATGTATTCCTATTTTACCTAAGATTTAATGAGCAAAGAGGGTAGAATATCTGCAATAATTCTAGTTCAGTTATATTAGAATGAATATGTTTTTAAAATGCTAGTATTACTAAATAATATGTGATGTACAGCATAAAGAAGAATATTGTGCTTTTAAAAATGTATATACTTTTTACTTTTGTCTACTAGTAAATCTAAAATTATGCACTGAAGGTTTATATATAACAGAAACTGGCCAACTCATATTGAAGTTTTATTAATAGAAAGTTACTAGTAAAAGTAAGTGACTAATTTTCAGGTTTTGAAAACTCAAACTGAAGTTAAATTTCTATTCAGCTATAATTCTCATTGTGATAGAGACCTTTTATTAGAAGCTGATGTTAGAAAATGACCTTAACCTAAGGAAATATTATTATCTATCTCATTAGCCTTACACAGATTTAAATTGCTGACAGTGATGGTCTCTTGGAAAGTATATAGAACACTTGTGTGAAAAGACATTTAGGTGTGCTTTGGAAAAATACCAGATTTTAATTTTTTTCATTAGAATACTGCAAACCCATATATGTTGTAAAATTTTATGTACATTCCATCTTTACCCTGAAAAGAAGATTGAGTCTATTGTTCTTGAACTATATTCATAATTTTATTGTATTTTTGAAAGTAAGGAATCATACCTGGAAAAATAATGAGTCGAATCTTATTGTTGTCAACTAATTATACTATGGCTAGTTTTTGCAGAAACTATAAATATCCTACAAAAAAACTCTAAAATACTAGACTAAGTTCACAAATATTAATACCAAGCTTTCAGATCTTAATTATGTTTTATTATTTGAAAACAGATTTACAGATGAAAGTATTTATTTGTGCTGATAAGTTGCACAGTGTCTAATATAAGAAATATATTTATAAAGTTTAATGAAATGCAAAATCAATATGTGTCTTTTAGGCAACAGAGTTGAATTTTGGGTAAACTAAATGACCAAATTTGACCAGTGACAGAACTATTAAAATTTAGCAATGTATATATAATGTAGGTAGATGTAAATTGATGGTCTTATGTTATATACTTCGTTTCATACAAGAACCTGAGAAGAATAGTAGAGCCAAGTACAGACCTCAAAAAGAGCTTTATGGACATATTTATATTTCTGCAGAAGTAGTAGCTACAGTGAAAATCAGGGAGGTCGCTTTCTCATTGTGAGAATTTGTGTTCATTTTTTTTTTCTTTTTTTAGATTTAACTCTTCTAGGACAGTCTCATCTTTCTCTGTATCCTCTCTGGTCCTGATCTCTTTGTAAGAAGTTCCTCTTAAGTTGTTGGACTACAAATTAATGTACTAGACAAGTCAATCCTTATTTTGTTTGATTTGCAGAAATGCTACATATCAACATAGTTATATAAGAACCTATGTTAAAGTATATATATATATATATATATACACATATATATATAATTTACCCATAACCTTCAGTATTCTCAAGTTATTCTCATAGCCCTATGATAAATTTGTAATTGTTAGATTATTGGAGAGAAGCCAATTGACAGTTTCTTGGGGATTATAGTCTGGTGTTCTTTCTGCGCCCTCTTTTGGCTAATTGATGTAATTATACTGGCTCGAGAGGTTTATTGTCTCATTAGTAAATTGCATAGCCAAGGTCAGAGGTACACAAGAGTGTATATACAAAAGTGGAAAATTTATGAAAGTGAATGTGTTACTGTTTCGGATGCTATTTATACTTCAAATGAATGGAGTGATTGCTTTGTTTATGTATATTTTAGTGCAGTTTTTACTGTCAATCACAACTTTATACTAGATCAGGATAAATTAAGCTATTTCATGTATTTTACTTTAAACCTTGCTTTGACAAATTAAATTTTAGTAGTAGACAAAGCTATTCCTTTTTAAATGACCAGTTTATTACAAATACAGAAATTGATTCTACAATAGCAAATAAGTATCTACTGTTTTATTAATTATCTAAAAATGTATATTTAATTTTTTCCTGTCAAGTTAGAATGAATTTTGAAAACTGGATCTGTTTTCCTAAATCAACAAAGATTAATTAGTAATTCTAGCTCTGTTCTTTTTGTTCTTTTTTTAACTTTCCCAGTCAGGGTATCCCAGTATCTTCAACAGCCCATTTGCCATCTATTCAGAATAACCATGAATATAACTAAAACGGTTTAGCATTTGAAAGTAATTGTTAGCAGCCAGATCACTGGTATAATCTGTATATTACTTGAAATATTTATACGCTTCTCATTTAATTTTAGCAAAGTTATTTTTATTTAATTTTTTAATATCTAAAACCATTCCATTTTATTTAAAGTTTGTCTATATGGTGTTTTTACATTATCAAAGTCATTTACTGGGCTTCTGGAAATGAAATGGTTTTACCAGGGTACAGTTATCCTGACTGAAAAGTCAGTCATTGTTTTCTGTAAACAAAAAAGTTCATGAGCTCCATGTAAGACTCAAGACCATAGGCAAAATCAGACTGAGCTGAGACTCCAGCCAATAGTAGGCATTTAGTTAGAGATCTCCTCGTACTTTGTAAGCTAGACTCGAGTTCTTAAACATCGTTAGCTGATACTCCATTACAGTAAAAATACCATTTTGGTTAAGAGTGCAATTTTAAAATATTTGCACTTAACATAAAAGCCAGCCATTTAAAATCATAACCAACATGTAAACCTCCTTTTCAGAATTTTTTTAAACTTTTAACAGTGAAGAAACAGGAACTTTAAGGCTGGTTCAGCACATGTAGACCCTGGTCTCAGTTCCCAGTATGGATTTAAGAAAGTGAAATAGACACCAAAAACCTACATAAAATTCAGTATAACAACTGAGTTAAAACTACCATCAGAATTAACATAAGTGCATTTTTACTGATGAAGAGGTAAATTTTGTTTTTATTTTCCCTCGGTCCTGGGGCCTGAACTCTTGGCCTGGGCGCTGTCCCTCAGCTTTTCAGCTCAAGGCTAGTGCTCTACCATTTGAACTACAGCGCCACTTGCGGCTATTTTCTGCGTATGTGGTGCTGAGGAATCGAACCCAGGGCTTCATGCATGCAAGGCAAGCACTCTACCACTGAGCCACCTTCCCAGCCCATAGATGGTAGCTGGTTCTCACTATTTGTCATCAGATTTTCAGTCACTTCAATCTAAGTGGGTACTTAGAAATACATTTTGCTCAAAAGGGTATATTGAGTCTAAATGCTGATCATGAAAGCTAAAGTGAGAATAAATCTTCCGACCAGGAAGTACAAACTAATGTCTATTACAATTTTATGTGTGCTAGATCATGGGGCAGTTTGAATATTCTATAAAATAAAATGTTTTGTAAAATCACAACCTATGTAGCGATAGTTTAATATGTTATTGATATTAACTGAGATAACTAGCTTCTCTCTAGGCTTTCTCTATTCTCAGTACTTCTTTAGTGCTTCCTGTATCAATTGCTTACCTAGCTCAAGTTTACTAAACTATAGTTACTCCATTAAGTAAGTTTTATATTACTTCTGATATGCAGATATATCTAGAATTACTAATAAAATTAAGTAGTTTACAAATAGATACAAATATTAGATTTTCATCCAACTCTATTATTACTTTTAATATAAATATTAACAAATGTAGTTGGTAAGTCATGTATATTCAGTATGTCCTGCTTGCTTGTATTACTAACCACATAATTAATGAATGGTATATTCTTGAGTGCCCACATTTGTTGACTTTCATTGTTGGAATCATCATCTGAATTTATAAATGAAAATTTTTAGTGTGTTTTTTTCATTTTTAATTGAACTCTAGAATATCTTAGAATAGAATTTGAAAAAGTGTTAGAACCTACTTGCTTGAAGTATTTTGTACAAATATTATTTACTGTGTATATTTAGCATTTCTGCTACATTTGGGGTAATGATAGTTAGCTTTAGGAAAATGACTTTTCTCACATTTCTTTCCTATCATATTGCAGTTTAAAAAAATCACTCCATTATCTGTTTTTTTAGATTTTGCAATACTACCCACTAATGCTAAATTTAAACAGAAATAGCAATGATATTTGAAATCGGTATTACAGGTATTACTGATTTTTCCATATCATATTTTTTTACTTTTCTACATCCTTTTTCCTTTGTCCACTCTTAGAGAACCGGTACAGATGAGTAGTATGTAACCAGAGAATTGGATTAGTAGAGTAGAAAAAGTTCAAAAGATGAGGAGAAGGCTAAAAAGCATGAATAATCAACGTCTCAGCAGCAGAGTTGACAGGAAACAGCTGCTGTGAGCTCAGCATTCCCTTCCTGTAGTCATTGTAGCTTCATCTCTTGTCAATACATACCGTATTGCTGTAAGTTGTTCCTACATGTAAGCACTTAGTTTTATTTTTTAAATCTTAAGTCATATTCTTTTTTTCCCAGTTGGTCAGATTTCTTTAAGAAATTAATTTTAAGTAAATAATTGTGTAGTATGTTAACATACAATATCAAAAGTGATGTGAAAAATGCAGCTATTTGATGCAGAGGAGAGAAATGAGGTTACCTCTAGGAACTTCCTAGGAGTCTCTTTTCAAAAGAGAGAATACTATTAAAGAATATTTGTGCCAGAGGAAACATTCATATGTAAAGATGGCTTATACTTTAATATTTGGAATCGTTTGGAATGCTTGAGGCCTCAGAACTGTACACTATTGTTCACTTTGAATTAAATTGTTACACATAAAAGTAGTGCTTATGGACCCTGCTGATTTTGATATTAATAGCTTTATATATAAACAAAGGTGTAGACAAAACATCAACAAAAAAAGATGTTTCTTTCTTGTGGTTTTGCTTGCCTGTTAGAGTTAATACAGGGTTGAATTGTTTGTAGGCTGTTCACTAAAGGAAAAATGTCTGCTTATCGCGAGTTCTGCTTTCTTGACAGTGTGTGCATAGGTGACATTTTTATCCACTGGTGCCTGAAGTTAGTGATTTATAACCTCAACAACTAAAACATCCTGGTGCTATTCACTTTAGCATAGAGTGACAATTTTAATTCCTGTACCAAAGAGTTCATTTTCTTCTCGCATCTTTTGTGTTTTAAAGAAGCAAATGGTACTAAAAACAGCTTGATGATCAGATCTTAATATTTTGCATCTGCTGCCTCAGTTTAATTAGTTATAAGTGTCTCTTATTTGTACTGAATTTGAAAATTCAATTTTGGTAGGTTAGTTTGGACTTTAGATTTGTAGCTTAATATAGCTTGGCTACTTTCAAGAGTAATTTAATAGACTGAAATTACAAAAGATAATTGAAGCACTTTCATAAGAAATTTTCATTTGTATTTCTGCTGCAATGAAAAAAATAACATCTCAACGTTTATTTCTATAAATGAGCTGTATAACTTATAGGGCACTATTAAGGACTACTGAAACACAATGCTAAAATGGAGGTTTAGTAATGGTTCAGTTTGATTACAAATCAAGAATTCATGATCTCTATGTGTACAAATCTTCAGTGGCTTTAAAGAATGATATTGCTTTTGTCTGTTTTGAAGATAAAGGTAAAACAAAAGAAACTTTAATATCTACACTTCCCCAATAGGAAATACAAATGTACCCTGATTTAAGCAAAACTGCTAATTGAACTTTATAAAAAAAAAAAAAAACAGAAATAAAAAGAAAAGAATGTCTGGATATTATAATCACTTTACCTGAAAATTTGGATTAAGATTATTTTAAAATCTAATTTTGCTTAGTGATTCATTTTACAAAAGTGGAGGAAGTTACCCCTTAAATGTAATTGTCCAGTTGTGATTTTGCTATCTATATAATTCTTCTTTCTAAATTCTAAAAAAAAATACTCATTTATTGTTCTTAAAAGTGCAGCTGAAATGGTTGATCATTCTGGCAAGAAGATAACATATATTGGAAAAGTAGACAATCACATTTGAAATGTTTTTTTCATTACTGATTATTAAAATCAATCCCTTCTTGAATGTATATATAATATATGGTTTTGCAGTGAATTCTGAATGGAAAAAAGAATCATGACTTGAAACATGACTTCAAGTTGATATGTAGGTATCCAGATCAACATGTTAAAGGTGAAAGTAAAATTTAAAAACAAGATGGAGTGAAGCAACATTATGTTTCTTTAATTTGTAAACAATATTCCCTGAATTACGTTGCCACTGAATTGGTTCTGGATAATTTCATTAGTTTATCCATCATTTAAATTAGTGTGTCTGAATGTTGTTATTTTTCAGAGTTAGGGAAATCACTACTACTTGCCATGTTCCAGTAGCATATTTAAAAAAGAGAATATTGAAAAGTAAAAACACACATACATAGGTAGAAAGAAAGCAATGGACAATACCAGAGGAAATACTTTTATACCCAGAGATACTCAGACAGTGCTCAGACAAATGAGTTGCAAGTCTGACATGAGAGGAAAAAGATAAGCTCTTGGGAGGAGAGTACACATGGATGGTACTGTAAGCATATTTTATGTCCTTCAAGTTAGTATTTTTTACAAATTGCTACTTTAGTAAATAGACAAAATCTGTATTATTTTGAGGCCCCTCATATTCTGTACCAGATTTTGTCAAGCATTATATCCCTAAAATTAAAGATCTTTCTATATTTTAATAATGGTCTGTTTTGAGTGCCATATGAAAATCCCATGTTTACACTTGCCTGCCCTCCCCCCTTTCTTGCGAAGTACATACTTTGTGTACGTCTGGAGGCCATTTTCCTGCATTGTCTACTGATTTTGTCTTCTTCCTCAAGAGAGTTAAAAAAGTATCACTAATATTTTTATTGCTAATGCTCATAAGGAAGACAGTAGTCGAGTGAGTTTAGAATAGATTAGAGAGGAAGATGGATGAAAATGGTAGGTGGGAAGGGAGCTATGTGTTGGAGTATACTTATTCTAATAAAAAGTCTACACTGGTTATTAAAATGAAAACAAACCATGCATCTACCTTAAGAACCTTGTTTTTTTTAAGTTATTTTAGTGATTTGGTTTTATTCATATGATATTCTATTTTCTTTGCAGATTGTTTTTAATTTAAATTGTGGAATTTTACTTCTCTTCAAATGTATTATGTACTGTATTTTTAGAAATCTTATTTTTAATAAATATTTTTTAAAAACAGGTTTTTGTCTCTATACCTCTTATTTATTATACTACTAATTATGGTAAATGTGGTTTATTTTTCAGCTTTATGCAATTTGGATAGGTATTCATAATTAGTGACCCTAGGCTACTGTTATATAACAATCACAGGATGCTAAGTATTTAGGAAAAACTCAATGTACATCTTGGAGTTGAAATTACATAGATAATATTTTAGAGAGGACCTAGATAGCTACATTGTTTATTTATTATTGTACCAAAGACTATTTTATGGCAGCTGCATACTGTCATTGGTTTTCCATGAAGTCACAAATGACTTGAACTCATTTTTGAACAAATGCATTTATCCCTAGTCCACAGTTATGTTTCTTAAGTGTACAATAACACTCAGTAGCTGGCTCAGCCTGCAATTCAGACTATAACACAAATACTTCCCTTAAGGATAAGTAATCAGGGCTGGGAATGTGGCTCAGTGGTAGAGTGCTTGCCTAGCATGCATGAAGCCCTTGGTTCGATTCCTCAGTACCACAAAAATAGAAAAAGCCAGAAATGGCTCTGTGGCTCAAGTGGTAGAGTGCTAGCTGTAAAC